AAGGGATAGAAAAAGGGGTGGAAGAGGTAAATAAACCTCCACCTCGACCAATCCTGTCGAAAGGCATTCCACACCAGGAAGTCATCAAAGAAGGCCAAAACCTGAATACCTCACAAGGAAAATGGGCCACCACAACCTCAACTCAGTGCATAAGAATGGTGGAACCAGATTTCGGCCAAATGGGAGAACCCAAAAGTGGTAAACTTACAGTCCCGCGAAAAGCAAGAGCCAAACCCTGAACCTTGGCCATATATAGACTAGCCAAGAGGCAATCCAGAAGTTCAGAGAAACATCCACATGCCTGCCTTGAGAGTGAGAACCCAGGACAGGATGGTTATCTGGAAATGGGGGTAAGGAGTTCGTCTGGAAGACCAGACAAACCTTGACGAGAGGTTCTCGTTGGAACTAGAGCTCCAACAAGTCCCAAATCAGGACTGAGAAAATAGACAGCACACCTACCGTAAAGATGCAGACATGACGACTACACACAGAGCCACACAACCCAAGACAACCAGACAGAGATGAAGATAGGAATCCCATCGGAACAGCCCAAACCTCCAAGAGGAGGGACCAACCAACCAACCCTACCGCAATTTGAAAGACAATGACCCGAAAAGCCCAATGGGCTTTTCGGCCCAATGGGCTTTGCCATTGGGCTCAGCCCAATGGGCTGATCATGGGATCAGGCATCGGCAAACCGAGGGGGGGGCCACCCCATCAAGAGGCAAACCGCAAAAGGGCCAACGTGAGACCTGAGAAGCAGCCGTACAAGCCGAGTGAGCAAAATACAGGTAATGGAATATATTCTAGTCAGGATGACCCAGAAACCTCACAACACACCCAGGATGGGGAAAAGGGCCCAAACTCAAAAAGAGGCTGAGCCCAATGGCAAAGCAAAACCAGGTCACACAGGAGGTACAGAAATAAAGCCTCGTGAGCCCTGTAAGGAAATCCGAGAGGAGAGAAGCTTCAAAAGGACACCTCCAGGGGCCCAAAGGCACCTGGAAATTACCACTGGTGGGAACAGCACACAAAACCAACTCTCACAGGGTGGCGGGGGAAAGGAACCCTTTCCCCAGCTGCAGATGCGAGGAACCACAAAGGATCAAAAAGGGACCTATGAGCCTCACATTGACTTCCCCCAAAGCCCTGGAAACCCCCCCCAAAGAGCCCCAGCTGAGCTGTCATCCATGCCCACCGCCCGGGATAGACATATGTAGTCCAAGGGAGAGACCTCGAAGAAGGGACCAGCTGGAAAGACCCAGAAGCCTCTGCAAGCCCAAAAGGCTCAACTGCCTCTGAACCCAAATTGGAAGGGGCAACCCCCAGAGCTGACTAACCTACAACCTGAGATAAACCTTGCCCCAAACTCTGAAGCCTTTAAATGCAATGGGGCCAGAAGCAGGGGAAATGGGAGAGCAGAGGAAGGGTAAACCATGCCTGAGGGGAGGGAAAAGGTGAAGATGGAGCCAAGGTTGAGGAGACCAACACCCCTAAACCCAGGTCCCAACCACTAAGCAGGAGAGCTCTGAGGCATCCAAATGGGCACTAGACTGCAGAAAGACCAAAGATGAAGAACAGTCACTGCCTGATAAACCCAAGCATCACCAGAAGGGCTAAGAGGGAGAGTAACATGATGGGAACACACCCCACAGAGTCGAAAGTCACATTGATGCAGCATGGCGGAGGCAGGCGGAATGAATGTCACCTTGTGCACAGACAAGAACAACCCTCATCTGTCAAGAAGTGAGGGTGGGAAAGGGAGCACTCGAGGCACCCTAACCCACAAAGAATTACCAGGGCCTAAAGGTTACAGTCCAAACAGAACACTCGGGCACTGGGATGCTACACCAGTACTCTTAAAAGTGCTATGTAAATTAACCCAGCCTAGCTAAGGCAGCTGGAAAAACTTACCCCAAGGTAAGGGCCACCACAAGCGAGGAGGACCTCTAAATGAATGTTGCCCAAACACTCCAGGGGAGATGACCCTGGCAGCGCAAGGGCAGCACTAGGGAGCACACAAAAAAATAAACCCTAAGCACACACAACTCCAAGCACTCTAAACTCCTGGCCCATGCAACACAAAGGTGTAAGAACAGCCAATAAAGCAAAATACCAAGAGAAAGTGCACTGGGGTCAGAGTGACAGAGAGGGTACCTGACACGCAACTAGACAAGAGGAGAAGTGAGGGTGGAGCAGCTGGCTGACTCCTGGCTGCCTACCTCCCCACTCCCCCCCCCCCCCCCATCGAATGAGAGGGGGGGGGGAAGGAAGATGGAGCTAATGAGCTGGCGCTAGTTTCCTGAAATTCAAATCGTTTGTTACATTGTTGGGAAAGTTCTATAGCCTTTTCTTGACGCTGTGGGCTCGTTTAAAGCCAGCAGTGGTTTGTTTTGTTTTGCTGACTTTCTGTGTCCCTTCCTCAGTAGTGGCATACATGAATAACTTTATATAATACCACTGCTCCCTGATCCTCTTGTGATGGGGGGGGGGGCAGATTCTGGCTCTGGTTCCCGGTAGGCCATAGAACTCTGCGACCTGCTTGATGGGGTTCTGGGAGTTCTTCTACTCCCCAAGCCCGGCCCGAGGCCAGAGGCACTGATGGGACCTCGTAGTACGACACACTATCAGAGTAGCTTCAGGGTGTCCCCAGAAATAGATGACACTGTATCAAGTATCAGGAGGGGCAATTAAAATGCAGATACGACAATACTATCATTGGTAATTAGCACTCAAGAGTGCACAAAAATTAATGAAACACTGGCATAACTTTTATATTATTATAATTTACTTTATATTAATGTATCATAGAAGTAAATAAGCAAATATCAAAAGAAGGCACCAAGCCAGGAAGACTATGTAGCACTGTTTGTGTCACGGTATATTCATAAGGTGCTAAACATCACTCAGGATGCCAATACGAGAACTAAAGGACATAATGCAAACGATATCAAAAATAAAAACTTTGATTGTAATGAAATGCTCCTATCTGAGTTGCAGCAAGGTAGCTTCCCCTCCCCCCTCGGTATACACCACTGACATATATTAAAGTCACTGTGACAACACCCAGCTGCCAGCAAAATCTTCAGCATGCCGAGAACAAGCACCATCTTCGAACAAATCCACAAGGGCCAGGACGAGGATTTGAACATACGTCCGAGAGGATCCCAGACGCACCTTAATCAGGCACGCCAAGACTACGCCTTAATGTGTAGTGTAGTGTAGTGTAAGCACCATCTTCACTTGCACTCTTCTTGCAGCAAAGAAGTTCACTGGGATCAGAAATTGTTTCAAAACTGCTAATTGCCAACCAACTTTCTGGACAACCTTGCACCACAGTGCACTTTAACCATGGCTAACACACACACCAGGGCAGGTACAGGGAACTACCAAAGTAAAACCAAGAAAATTTTATTTAACACAATGCTTTATTACTTTATCTGCACATATTAGTAGCTTTCCTCAGCTTATTAAAAACAATGCCCAGATGGACCAAGTGAAAATAAAAACAAAGACCACTTACCAGAGAGAAACCGAAGTGCGAAGAGCAGGACACAGGAGCCCCTTGTGGGGACACCAGGTTTGAATTTCACACACAAGCACCTTAAGCCCTGATAAAAAGTTATTCATTACCCCATACCACTCTTCATTCATAATGGCATAATCTTTCCTTAATTTTTATCAACTTTGTTCAATTTTCTTCTATTACTCCATATCATTCTTCATTCTCACCTCCTTTCAGTTTTAACTTGCATTAACTTCATACATCATACTTTCCTTACTTAAAACTTTCACTTCATTTCTTTAATTCATTTATTCAACATTCTACACACACACACGAGCCTTTCTTTGTTTTCTATGGCCTGGGCAGGCGCAGGTCGAGTATTGGTCAATTTTATATACAGTGCGAGTGTTTATATTTTTGGGTATTTATTAACCCCTTAACTGTGCGGCCTCCAAATATGACACCCCATCCCCCCAGTGCGCAGGAAATAAAATCTCTGGAAAAATTCTTTTTTGTTTTGAAAGTGTCAAAAACCCTTCCCTGATATCAGCTTAGCTGTACAGTTGTGGTGAACAAAACATATACATACTTATATATAACGTCTGTATATTGTGAATAAAATATAAAACAGGACGGTGGGAGGAGAAAGTGGGCGAGTGAGGCGTTGTTGAGGGAGTGGCAACGAGTGGCTGCCTGGTGTGTGGCGGTCACTCCTCGTTGCTTTTCGACTCTCAATACCAACTTAGTGGTACGTTATGGTGAACAAAACATGCAGATACTTATATATAACGTGTGTGTATAGAGTGTAATAACAGCAAAACTATTTGTTTATTGTTTTATGAACATAATAATTGAATCACTAATATGCGCACCATACTTTTGAGTATAGCAATTATTCACCACTTTTATTATATAAATATATCACAATACACACTACTGAATAATATTACTGCAAAAAAAAAACTAAGAAAAAATTAATCAGAGACATAGAAATAATTAAGTGATAATATCTTTGTCGCAACTCCCACCTGTCAGCGCAGGTGACGCTAACCGGTTCTGACGACCATTCTATCAATGCTCACTTTTTGCCAGACTTCCTCGGTCTATTGCGCCCAAAATATGTCACCTACAATTTTTTTTCCCCCGTGCTCAGGAAACACAAATTAATATTTTTAGAAGACGAAATAATTTTTTAGAATTTTTTTTCTTGCACACAGGGATGTAAATCTCCTTAGGACCCCTTAGCAGCTTAAGGGTTAAAGGGTTACAGGGCTACTTTTCAGCACAAATATTATGATAGTGTGTGTTAATCACTTTACCCCATTTGGCCTCAAGCTTTTAAATGTGGGTGCCATGTAGCGTATTGATACCCATATATATAGTCAGTTTATTTGTACATTTCAGTAAACTCGCAACTTTATCATTAAAAACACAAAACCAATACAACAAAAAATTGCGAGGATTCAAATTTGAAATAAAATTCTTGCTGTATATATACAATGCATATTTTTATTTACCTTCAAAATATTTTTCATCACAACACTCTTGTTACAGAAAAAAATTAACAAAAAAAAAACTAATCAAAATTTGAGTAAACATCTGAATAATATTTCACTTACTCAATCGTCTTCTGTACTTTCTTTTAAATACTTTTCCCTTTCTTTTTGAAGTTTCAATTTTCTCTTTTCAAAGCCTTTAAATTTTTTCTTATTTAATTTCTGTAATTTAGGCTTAAATTTGACACTCTTCACAAGCTTTAAAAATTCTTTGGATTCTTTCTTCATGACGGACAAAGCTGAATTCAAGTTGCTATTTTCTTCAAGCTTGTCATTGGTCTCAATACTTACTCTATGTGGTACGATAAGAGAACCTGTGTGTGTTGGGTACTTGCCCGAAAAATCCAATGGAATAAAAGGCATTGAAAGCATTCTCATTAGTGATTCACGCTTATTTTGAAGATCACGTTTTTCTTGAGCAGCTTTCATGCTATTTTCCCGTTCATCATCTTCGTCACAGTCATCTCTGCAATGGGTAACAAGAAAACTATATCTACTAAAGGACTTTAATGTCAATACTGTCAATTTCTTTAAAATGATAAAAAGGAGGAGATTTAGTCAAAATGTAAAAAATAAGTGAAATACAATACAATCAATGCCAAAGTGTGAAAGATTCTATCTTTTAAGACAGCCCTGAGCTGTGGCACTTGTTTCAGCACCATAATTTTCTTTGTTCTGAGTGGGGCTGAACAAAAATTCAAGAGTAAATCCCCACTGCTGAATGGCAGACAACTACCAGAGTAGATAAGTGGTAACCAGTTGGAAAATTACATTGAGACATGATAAGCATGCCTAAACAAACATGAGAAATGTTTACAAAGATAGTACAAGTCCACAGCATATATGGATAAAGCCCTAATAATATCCTAATATGGATATATGCCCTAATAACCATTTCAGTTTAACTGAAGAAATCAGCTTTGTCTTGGACGATACAGAGCCACAATGCCAGTCAGAACGAAAGAAGAGTTAGGATGGGACGGCAGCATTGTTGCAAGCATTGTTATCTGATGGCAGACTGAAGAAAATTTTTGGTTGTTTGCCAGAATGCAACATACTGAACTATGTGTTAGCTTTTGGGTTTTATGATAAGTACTTTACTATCTGCATTCCAAGATGGATTGAATAAAATCCAGGATACTCCCTAGTACCTTAAGTGCTGGCAAGAAAAGTTTGAAAGGGTCCTCCTTAGGTCAATGCAGAATATTGGCTTTCCTAACTCTATGATCCTATCTAGACGACAATAGTACTTGACCTAGGAAGTGACTAACTGGCATAGCTAAGAATGTGTGTTTTAACATGATAGCGGAGAGTGGAGGCACTTGTAGTGTCATTCCAACCAAACTCCACGATGCTTCTAAGGAACCAAACCAAGCGCCAATACATGGCAGGCATACAGATGATAATCTTTTACCCTCCGAGGAAGATAAATAAGGTGCTTTCATGGACAGCAAACATTACAGTAAGGCAAACAGACTGGAGGCTGTGCACTGCCAAGTTTATCCCCCAAGGAATAAACACAACCCCTCCCAGCCAAGGGTCCCACACAGCCTCTATCCCAACACATGCCCAACCTAGGTAGGACAAATTCTCATATTCTGAAAATTTTAAGCATTTTCTTTTTGAAGACAATGGACAGCCATGGATAGGAGTGTTTTTTATAATAAAAGAACACAAAGTATCATATACAATGAATCTCCAAAGATATTTAATATCACAAGTACAAGATCAAGTAAACAAAAGAATTTAATCATAGTGGACGTAGAGAATTTAACCACAGCAAGCAACCTACAAAGCTCACAGGTTTACTGAAATCCATGGATACACAAAGTGAGATGCTATGAACCACTAAGTGACCGACATGTTCCAGAGACAACTGAACATTACCTCCTTCATTACTTCAGATAGCATAATTCCAGAATTCATTTCAAACGAGTACTTATCACCCTCAAATTGCCTTTTAATATCGAGCACATATTAGGGAGTCGAAACCTCCCACTACATATTAAATACCAAGTAGTCAGAGCATTGACAAAATATCTCCAGCAACCAAAATAATTGAGCCACATCTGACCTATTCATGCAACTCAAAACAACCAGAACAATCATACATAGAAAACATAACGCTAGCTACAAAGAACAGCAATTATCAGCTGATTCCATCAACACAACATCCAGCATGTTAAGTCAAACTCTCAAAACACTTCTAGTTTCATTATCACTCTCGCATCAACTAGCAATAACATTTAAGCCTTGTGAAATCATAAACTTTAATGTCTCCCACATTACCACTCATGCAGTCAACAGGAGAAACCCTTCATGAAACTACATGTACTATAAAGAAGAGATAGCTAAAAATGCATTACATCATAAAACATTAATGAACACATAATAATTGTGGACAAATAATAGTAGTGATTGTAATTGTCACTGAAAAAAGTCAAGGCAATTTGCAACAGCACTCTGGTTTTAATGGATTGGGTTGATTTAATCAATCAACCTGAGGAGTTGCATTCTACAGTATGTGAAAACATGCTTTACGTCTCATGACTCGGTTCATCAAAGGGTATGGCATCACTTGTTTATGAAGCTTTATACTAGAGAGAAGAGTGCACACAGTAATGTGGTGTACAATGTATGTTGAAATTAAGGCCTGGGTCACCAAAAATTAGTTCAACAAGGACAGATAGTCAGCCCAGATTTCTTAAGAAATGCTACTCTTAGATGTTGTAAAAGTTATACAGAAACTCTAATTGTCTGATGATTGCTGTGGTCCTGACTGAAATAGTCACAAAAATGCATTTTGTGCACTTCAACATACTTTGCACAGGTGCTCACATACTATATTCATTTTGTCTGGTTATGTTTGTAACATACTGCACATGAGTCAAAGAACAGTGCCCTGTACCGGTATATTTAAAACAAATTATCTGTAAACGGTAAAATAAATAATTATACTCACGATTCGATCAGTAATTCAGCCTCCTCTGCAGCTCTTCTGAACCAGTCCTTCTCAGCATTAGTTTTACGAATTGTGTGTTCCATTTTTTCTACCATGCGAGCCAAGTTAATCCTCTTCTTTACCTGGCTCATAACACTTGCATCAATAGGGAATGGAGGCAAATCCGTTGCTCGATTAAGTGTATTACAAAGTTGACGATACTTTTTTATTTCTGCCATCTCAATCAGAAGAATGCTTAGCCCCTCCTGGCAGGCTCGAGCAGTACGACCACTACGATGGATGTATGTCTGCCATATGAAATAAACAATATTTAGTATTGCAGAAAACAAGTCAAAATAATGTTCATGAAAATTAATAACCCCACACACACATATGGAAAAGAAGAAAAGTAAAATTATGTCATTTTGGGCCATCCCGACCCTCCTAAAAGCACCTAAAAAGTACCTAATTCCATCTTGAGATGATTTTGGGGCTCAGCGTCCCCATGGCCCGGTCCTTAACTAGACCTCTTTTTTGTTACACACCCCCAGGAAGTAGCCCGTAGGAGCTGTCTAACTCCCAGGTACCTATTTACTGCTAGATAACAGGGGCATCAGGGTGAAAGAAACTTTGGCCATTTGTTTCGGCCTTCGCCGGGGATCGAACTCAGAACCTAAGGACTACGAATCCGAAGCGCTGTCCACTCAGTTGTCAGGCCCCATCAAGTCATGTTAATAATACTTAATACTGTTACAACAATATGAATACAATTTATATTTTTGTCACTTCATAAACATCATAAATATTCTATTCTGAACAGTATTTTAGTTCATAAATAAAAATAAACAGTATCCTGTGAAGTAAAAAAAACAGAGGGATTAAAATTCACAAAATACACAGAATACACACAAATCAAATTCTTAACAGAAAATCCTTAAGAATTTGAGTTAAAGGTCACCTTTGAAAAAAGAAACAGCGTTGAATGTAATGAAACGCCATTTTCTGGGTGAGCCCCGGAAGCTCTCTGAAGCTTGTCGGGCTAATGTATGTTATATTAGACCGGGACATTAGCTAAGGAGTTCAGACCTACCTGGGACCAGCGCCAAAACCTGGCCCCTTCAGAGGTTTCAGGGAGCAATGGTCCTGGAAAACCCCCTTGTGGCTGGGGTTTTCCTTATCTGCCATCGACTGGGGATATGCACCCAGAAAGGTAGGCATAACAAAACAAACCCCACATGGTAAAAAACTAAAACAGAAAACCGAACAGTGGTAGAAACTCCCTACAATCACAAGGAAACAAGCAAACATCACACTTTACTGCCGCTCCAATCGTCCACGCAGCCCTCCCTGCCCCAAGAGGGGGAGGGGAAGCCCTGGACCTCACCACGCCGCCTGCCTAGCATCAGTTCGGAAGCTAAGCTTCAACCAACGCGAAAAACCGCCGACCTGTGGGAAGGAGGGTTGCCAGGGAGCCTCCGGGGCTCACCCAGATAATGGCGTTTCATTACATTTAATGCTGGTTTTCTGTGGGGAGCCCCTACGGCTCCTTGGAGCGTCCGCCTCCCAGTTGACCCGGGAGGCGGCTGCCACAAACTCCGCAACGTGAAGCCGAGACAACAGGCTGCAACCTGCGACCCAAGGCAACAAGAACCCACAGGAGCAGACACGCGTATAAAGAATGGGCAGCCAGGAACCTGTGCGACCCTCAATTCCTTGCGCCCAAAATGAGCCCTAGACGTCACCAACACAGCAGCGAAAGTTGCAAGCATCCGAACAGCACGGGCTCAAGGATAGACCGCAGGCTGGAAGACTTAAAAACTCTGCGGACGACCTGGGAGACCCGAGCCCTGAAACAGAGAACGAGGGGAACCGGATCCACCCAAAGTGCATCCCCAGACACGGTACGCTGGTAACGGCAAAGAGGCGCAACTGGACAACACAGGACGCACCCCCAGCCGAACCAATCAAGCATCAATAACCCAAGGACCCCTCTGAAAAGCAGTCGTCTCGACCGTCGCCAGAAGGACTGAGAAAGGCTGCAAATGTACAAACCTACCACCAGTACCAAAGAGCAGAAACCCCTGCACCGGAAGAGCCGGAAGCTCCGCGACCTGACCCGCAGAGGCCCATGCCAACAAAATATGGCCTATGAAAAACAAGCTTGAACAGAAGGGGCTACCACAAACTGAGAAGAAGATAAGAGGGCACCCTAATCAAGGACCAGGACAGCTCAGGCAACACATGAGCAGGCCGGAGGTAAAACAAAACACGAGAAAGCGTACATAACAGGGCAGATGTGACGTCCACCCCGAACACAAGCCGGAGTGGCTCAGCCAGTGTCGCACAAAATGAGGCGACAGTAAGAAATATCATATAACTGTAGGCCTGAAAACCCAAGAAAGAACAAGACAACCCGATGCAAAAGAGAAGACAACCTATGAAGAGCAAGAAAAAGGTGCATAGAAACACCAGGAACGTCATACTGTCGCCGAGACGAGGCTCGCAGGTGGGACACCACCAACGAAGTCACCTGATCATCATAGAGATGGTGATACCCGCGTCAAAATACCAGACACGAAGAGCCGAGGAGAAGGCCGAACCAGTCACGTACAGGACCGGTCCGACCTGCTGAAAGATGCAGAGCCACGAGAAAACGCCCCGGGTTCAGACACCTATCAAGCAGCGTCTGAAAATAAAGCTGGGCCGGCCACCAAAGGACCATGAGGACTACTCTCCTTAGGAATGGACTCCAACCGAGCCAGAACCTGAAGCAACAGCTGGACCGGGAGAAGAGGAACAGGTACCCCCACCTCGACCTGTCCTACCGAAAGGCATCCACTGTGAACGCCTTGCAGGCGGGTAAGGGCACCACATAGAATGGACGACGCCTAGACCACACCGACACGAAGACATCCATGGCCAGGAGTCCATACGTCTGGCAGAACCAACTAAACGAGTCGGCAACGACTGACCAATTTGTTAACAGAGGAATGAACAGAGACAGGCTGTCCGCCAGGATGTAGGACACACCCCGGACATGAACCTTACGGTTAGCCAAACCCCGAGAATCCAGCAAATGAGCCACTCGAAGGGATCAACCCCAAAGGTCAAACACCTAAGAGAAACCCCGTGGTTCCGGCAAAGAACCGCCAGAGAACAGTCCGAATGGAGCTGGATGGTAGAGCACCGAGTGACCTGAACCCTTCGAAGCACAAACCAGACAGCCACGAACTCCCGAAGCGCAAACCAGACAACCACGAACTCCCGAACCGTGCTGTGAGCCCAACGGACGGACAGACCCCACCATCCCCGGCTGACCTGGTGAGCACTGGTCACAAAGCCCCAGCCGAGAGATGACCCGTCCGTGAACACATCGAGCAAAGGCTCAGGGAGGTGCCAAGGCACAGAACCCCAAAAACCCCAAAGAGGAAGCTGGTGACACAGCACCAACACAAGATCCCTGGAGGACAAACCCAACGATTGCAAGAGAGGCGGAAGGGAAGTCTCCAAGGGAACCAAACATTCGCCGAAGCCAAACCCGATCCTGCGGGCAGACCAGCATGTCGAAGTTCAGACTCCCGCACAACCGCTCGAGCAACTGCCGAGCAACCCGGGACCCCCTCATGAACAGCCGAAGGCGGGACCACAGCCACAGCAACATTTCTGGAGGGAAAGACAAGGAGCGGCCCAGGAGCCCTAAACAAGACGCAGCCAGGACTCGGGACGGAAACAGATGGAACGGCTTCCAGATCACCAAGAAACCGAACCCGGCGATCTGGAAAGACTCACACCCCTGGCGAGCAGACAAGCGGACCGACTGGGAGCCCACACCAGCCAGTCGTCGAGGTAGGCCAGACATCGAATCCCAAGCACACCCAGACAGGGCACCAAGATCCAGTAAAGATGCATAAATACACCAAGTGCCAATTACAAACTAGGGAAGGCAACAAAAGCGGCAAGCCTGATGCCCCACCACCAAATGTGCCAGTACCGGAAACCTGGAGAGGAACGTGCCAAGAAGTGACCTGGAGATCCAGGGCCACCATCCAGGCACCCGGCCCCAACAGAAGCCGGACAGGAGACAACAGTCCTCCGATGAGGGCATAGAATCCAGGGCGCAGACTAAACAAGTCCAGAAGAACCGCAGATCCGCCAGGCCCGTGTATGCATAGAGCAGACGGGAACCCCAGAAGGATGGGGCGGATCGACCATGTCCAACGCACCCACTAAGATGACATGACGAAGCGCAGGGGAAGAAGCCCACCCCGCCATCCCCGAAACCCCCAAAGGGGAAGAAGCCGTCCGCCGCCACCAGAGGCCGGAAGACAACCAAAAATGCCCACCAAGCGGGACCAAGCGAGAGTCAACAGAGCAAGCTGCTCCCCCAGCGCCCCGTCAACAGCGAAGGGAACAGAGTCCCTTCCGAAAAAAAAAATATATATATAAATACACACACAAGGTGTATTACACACCTTGTTAATTATTTTATTAAATTTATTTAAATTAAATTAAAATTTATTTAATAAATTATATAATTTATTAAACGAAAAGTTCTAAAGTGTGTTTGTACAAAATGAAATCTTCAGGGAACCAGACACAATAAGAATTCCAGAGAATAACAAAGCACATAGAGGTGTCTAGAGACGAAGAGGAAAAAATGCTCAAGGAGCTAAATAAGAACAAAGCAGTTGGCCCAGATGGAGTTTCACCATGGGTTCTGAGAGAATGTGCACCTGAGCTCAGCATTCCACTTCAACTGATTTTTCAGGCATCCCTGTGTACAGGAGTTGTAGCTGATGTGTGGAAAAAGGCTAACGTAGTTCCAATCTACAAAAGTGGAAGCAGGGAAGACCCCCTTAATTATAGACCTGTATCATTGACAAGTGTAATAGTCAAAATATTGGAAAAAATAATTAAAACTAAATGGGTAGAACACCTGGAGGAAAACTATATAATATCAGACAGACAGTATGGTTTTCGATCTGGAAGATCCTGTGTAACGAACGTACTCAGTTTTTATGATCGCGCCACAGAGATTTTACAGGAAAGAGATGGTTGGGTTGACTGCATCTATCTGGACCTAAAAAAGGCTTTCGACAGAGTTCCCCATAAGAGGTTGTTCTGGAAACTGGAACATATTGGAGGAGTGACAGGTAAGCTACTAACATGGATGAAAAATTTCCTAACCGACAGAAAAATGAGGGCCGTAATCAGAGGCAAGGTATCGGATTGGAGGAATGTCACGAGTGGAGTACCACAGAGTTCAGTTCTTGCACCGGTAATGTTCACTGTCTACATAAACGATCTACCAGTGGGAATACAGAATTACATGAACATGTTTGCTGATGATGCTAAGATAATAGGGAAGATAAGAAACCTAGATAATTGTCATGCCCTTCAAGAAGACCTGGACAAAATAAGTATATGGAACAACACTTGGCAAATGGAATTTAATGTGAATAAATGCCAAGTTATGGAATGTGGAATAGGAGAACATAGACCCCACACAACCTATAAATTATGTGAGAAATCTTTAAAGAATTCTGACAAAGAAAGGGATCTAGGGGTGGTTCTAGATAGAAAACTGTCACCTGAGGACCACATTAAGAACATTGTGCGAGGAGCCTATGCTACACTTTCTAACCTCAGAATTGCTTTTAAATACATGGATGGAGAAATACTAAAGAAATTGTTTACGACTTTTATTAGACCAAAGCTGGAATATGCAACAGTTGTATGGTGCCCATATCTTAAGAAGCCCATCAACAAACTGGAAAAGGTGCAATGACATGCCACTAAGTGGCTCCCAGAACTGAAGGACAAGAGCTACGAGGAGAGGTTAGAGGCATTAAATATGCAAAAACTAGAAGATAGAAGAAAAAAAGAGGCGATATGATCACTATGTTCAAAATAATAACAGGAATCAATAAAATTGATAGAGAAGAATTCCTGAGACCGGGAACTTCAAGAACAAGAGGTCATAGATTTAAACTAACGAAACAAAGCTGCCGGAGAAATATACGAAAATTTACTTTTGTAAACAGTGGTAGACGGTTGGAACAAGTTAAGTGAGAGGGTAGTGGAGGCCAAAACCATCAGTAATTTCAAAGTATTATATGACAAAGAGTGCTGGGGAGACGGGACACCACGAGCGTAGCTCTCATCCTGTAACTACACTTAGGTAATTACACTTAGGTAATTACTTAACTCCAATATCTTCGATCTCACTTCATCTACATTGGTGTATACTATTTTCAGGAACATGTTCCCCTCTCCTTATTCTTCACTACCCCTCTCTCTAGCAATTTTGCTGGTTTGCCTTTTTGTACCATTTTACTGGCCTGCCTACCCCTATCACTTTGTAGAAAAAAGAATTGATTTCTTCTTCGTTTCTGCTCTCATTTAGACGTTTTGCCTCTACGAGGTTTAGTTTCAGCTTCCTTCTGTCTTCTCTTGAAAGATCTCATCTTAATGACCACACTTTCCCATCCTCATCACTTTGTAAGTTTTCTAGCATTCCTTAGTACTTCTTCCATCTGTTTGGCACCGTTTAGGGTGATCCTCAAAGGTCGATCTATCCCTTTTATATACCTGCCTATTCTCCTGTAGTCGCACACATTCTCTATGGTTGTAAGACCTTCCACGAGGCCAACAATTTTATCTACTACTTTCGCTTCTTCTACAGCTCTCTCTTACCTAGATATTATCTCCTTTTTTTTGCAACCAAAAATTATCAGGGACTTACTCCAATCAAATGTGTTTTCCACCAACTTCGGGTTAGATGCTAATTCCTTTCTCACTTCCAGCCTAATGTTTGTTTTATCCTGGTTGCTGCAGTCTTTGGCTTCCTTTATTGCTTCTTCAATTTTTTCCTTCTCCTTGGCCACTTGTGAATAGTTAAGTTGCATATCCTTCCTACACTGTTCTATTTCCTATGTAACTTCCTCCACCTAAAAAATTGGGGTTGCTGGTGGCGGAGCGGACAAAACACTGGACGCGTGATCCTGTGGTCTTGGGTTCGATCCCGGGCGCTGGCGAGAAACAATGGGCAGAGTTTCTTTCACCCTGATGTCCCTGTTACCTAGCAGTAAACAGGTACCTGGGAGTTAGTCAGCTGTCACGGGCTGCTTGCTGGGGATGGAGGCTTGGTCGAGGACCGGGCCGCAGGGACACTAAGCCCCAAAATCATCTTAAGATAACCTCAAGATATATCTGTGCTGACAAAAGCCGTTTCTCCTGTTGAATGTCCTTACCTAACCTATTGTAGTCATTTCTGTTTAAATTTGCTTTAATTTCTTCCAAAGCTATTTTTAAGAGTATTTTCCTCTTCCATTGCTTTGCAATGTGTTTCCAATTGATTCTTGTCCTTGCACAAGTCTTTCACTAAATGTAAAATCACTAAATTAATTAAAAAATAAATTCCCTAAATGTGAATCATGTCCTATGTGGACAGCTTGACATGTCAACAGTATCTAGTGTGGGCCTAGGCACTGGCTAGGGAAGCAATAAAAGAAAATGTCTCTTCAGTGCAAATTTTAACCCAGCTATGCTTATTCATTTTTGAGATCACGCAAAGCATCCCTCCCCAGCAATGAGTTAAAAACTAACTAATTAACCATTAGGGAATTATGGTGCATGGCTCAAATACAAAAGGGTCCTTGCTTTAACCATTATAAATAAGTATTCAAAGTTTCAAACAAATTCACAAAAGGTGTTGCAAGGATACCACACAAGAACCAATAAAATAATAATAATAATAATAAAGTGAAAACAATGTATCCCTAACTAGAATACATAACTAAATCTATCTAGAAAGAATAGCACACACATAAAAACCTAAAATTAAAAAATATTCAAACGAATTACCTCAGCTGTTTCTCTCTATGCACAAAGGAGGAACGGCATATATGCAAAACCTAAACCTTTCAAATATTCAAACAAATTACCTCAGCCGTCCGTGGCACTTGATAATGGATAACATGCATGATGTTTGGTATATCCAGGCCACGTGCAGCAACATCTGTGGCCAATAGCAAGCCTTGTTTGTTACTGGAAAACCGCTCTAAACTCTTAAGACGCTGTTTCTGTTGCATTGAAGCATGGAGGGACTGAAAAAATAAAAGGTAATTAATTGCCTCCATATAATTAGTCTACAGAGAAGTTCACAACTATATTTAAAAAATCATGATATATATAATACTCAGCCCATATATATGAAAAGAAAAGAAAGTAATGATGTTTCAATCCATCCTGGAACCACATCAGTTGGTTAATGTGATCTATTCTTTGTGTGACTTATACATGAGCATTTACAAGCCTAGGATGGTTAATTATCAAATTTAAACATTTAAAATTTTAATTTTCTTAAGAAGTTACATAGATGTGTGTGTGTTTATGTGGAATGAGATCTAATTTTAGGGGTTCCAGCTGATAATTATTGTACCTCGTGCCTATGCATCTCCCAACATTCTAGTGCCTCATAATAAATCTAGAAGTTATCGACTGAGGTGGCTTCCACTACCTCTGCTTTGAGCACATTCAATTAGTTTACCAACTACACTGAATACAAATATTTCCTCAAATCTCTTTGGGCACATGGGTGAGAATGATAAATTTTATGTAGTCATAATTCAGTCATAATTTAGTTATAAGTCTAAATAAAATAAGGGTATGGAAAGTGAGATAGAACAAATCCACAAGGGCCGTGACAAGGATTCGAACTTACGTCCGAGAGCATCCCCAGATGCTGCCTTAATCGACTGAGCTACGACATGGTCAAAAGAATTGCAACCAGAAATGCTACTGAACTTACTTGGATCCTGCAGCCTCTCCGAGACACAAACCAGGATTTTACACAATTCCCCCATGCACTCGAGCTATGTCAATAGGCCATTCTACGTCTTCGCCCTTACTTCATTACAGACAGAAATCACAATAGCGTGATGCATCAAATTAACAAATAAACAAATATGTTCATTTGATGCATCACGCTATTGTGATTTCTGTGTGTAGTGAGATAGAGTTTAGAGGGGGGTGAGAATGACCTATTCCCACAAGTGTAATGTTTTCCTAGGGGGGACTAAGCTAACATCGATACCCTTGCAAATCTTCATTGTCAAAACCTTTTACTGTGGTGAAAACAATGTAGCAAATACATTGTTTAGTACAGAATGAACACACCTGTGGATGACATTGAAGCAGAGTGAAGAGGTTCTGCAGCCTCCGTACACAGTCGATACTGTTGCAAAACACTAGGGTGCGACCAGGGTAACATTTAAGGAAGTAGTACAAGTAAATGTCTTTCTCCTCCTGCAATATGAAAGGAAACACTTTGTTATGAAAATTAAACAAGCATCTTCAAGCCCTGCTTTAAACTACACGAGTTCTATTTCCAATTTCTCAACACAAGGTCTTTTTAGCTGTATTACTTCATTCATTTGGATCATCAGAGCCTTGAACCACAGACCACAACAAGTAGAAGCTCTACCTACTGAGCCACCAGAATCCACAAACTGTATCATGATGCGGCAATTTACTACTGTACATACAGAATTCATTATTTATATTTGAAACCCTTCTCTTCAAACTATATTTGCAATAACAACAGTCTTTTGCACCTATAGTTAGTTACCTTGCTGCAGTTAATTCTTGCCTCTGTCAGACTCTCAGCTGTTCCAAACTTTCGAGTAACATCAACTACCTTGGGATTTGACTTCACTCCAATAATTTTGGCTAGTTGGTCGATTTTCAATTCAGATGTCATTTTTACTGTCTGAAATAAAAGAAAAAACCAGCGTTGGATGTAATGAAACTCCATTTTCTGGGTGAGACCCGGAGGCTCCCAGGAGCTATCCAGGCTAATATAGATATACTGTATTAGAATTTGATATGTGTGAATGGGGTTCATAGGCCTACCAGGGATCACAAGCCAGAACCTGGCCACCCCTCAGAGCAACGAGGAGCAATGGCCTATAGAATTGCACATGTGATTTGGAGCATTCTATAACTGTCATCGACTGGGTCAGGCACCCAGAAAGGTAAGCATTCCAAAACCAACCCCTATTCAGGTTGAAACTACAACCAAAAGTCAAACGAGTAGACAGAACTTCACAAAGAAAAACGAGCAAACAAGCATGACGTCACTACTTTCTGCGCAGCTTCCCCCACCCCGGGAGGGGAAAGGGAGAGCCCCAGACCCATCACGTCGCCTTCCCACACCTTCAGTTATTGAGGCTGGATATCAAAACACGCAAAAAAAAAAAAACAGCGTTGAATGTAATGAAACGCCATTTTCTGGGTGTGACCCGGAGGCTCCCTGGAGCTATACAGGCTGATATGCTAACATCAGACTTTGGCATCAGTCATGTGTATGGAGTTCTGTGGGCTTACCGGGGACCACAAGCCAGAACCTGGTCCCCTCAGAGAGGCAAAGGGAGCAATGGCCTATAGAAACCTCCGTGTGGTTGGAAGCATTCTATGTCTGCCATCGACCGGGTCGGGCACCCAGAAAGGTAAGCATCCCAAAACAAACCCCTATTCTGGTTAAAATTGCTACCTAATGCCGAATTAGTGGATAGAACTCCCAAAAAGAAATGAGCAAACTAGCATGACGTCACACGTCACCGCTCCGCTGTCTGAGCAGCTCCCCCCTTCCCCAGGAGGGGAAAGGGGAAGCCCCAGAACTTCACACTGGTGATCCACACCCCAGTTCTGAGGCTGGATGTCAAGAAAAGGGAGGGAGGGAGGGGATGCTGGGGAGCCTCTGGGTCACACCCAGAAAATGGCGTTTCATTACATTCAATGCTGGTTTTCTGGGGGGAACCCCGTCGGCTTCCCGGAGCTAACTACCCACAGAGGAAATTAGAGGGACTCATCTGGGAGACGGTGTCTGCTCGCTCCGCAACTCAAAACCGAGACAACTGGCTGCAATCGCCAACCCAAGGCGACACAGGCCTGACTAGGCCCAAGAACGAGTACGAGATAACGAGCAGCCAGGACCCCGTCCAACCGCCAAAATTCCCGCGCCCGAATGTCAAACCAGGTCATGTTGCCAAAGACGGCGGCAAGAGCCGTGAACTTACGAACGTCACGAGCACGGGGATAGACCGCATGCAGGCTAGCCGTAAGAATCCTTCGGACGACCTGGGAAATCTGCACCTGCGAACAGGGAAGAAGGTAAACCGAAGCAACCCAAAACACGTCCACGGACAAAGAAGCCGAGGCGCGCAAAAACCGGCGGAGAACCGCCACGGGCCACAAAACACGATGCACCCCCGGCCGAACCAACCATGCATCAAAAACCCAAGGACCCCTCTGGAAAACAGCAGTCTCAATCTCTGCCAGTTAAGAAGGAGACGGCTGCAGACGAACAAACCTACCGCCCCGACCGAACGAGCAGAAAACCAGAACAGGAGTGGCCACCAGAAACCGAGGACAAGAAAGAAGAGAGCACTCTGCCCAAAGACCAGGACAGCACAGGTGGGGCATGAGCAGGCCGGAGGTGAAACAACGCACGAGACAGCTTGCGGAAAGGCTTAGAAGTAACATCAACACCGAACGTGAGCGAAAGCAGCTCCGCCAGCGCCGCACGATATGAGGCGACAGTATGCGGCAAAATGACAGCCCCGAACCTCCACAAGAGAGGAACAAGACAACACCAACAAAACACCTAAGAAGGGACAGAAGGAAAAGGAAGGACCGCCAAAAAAAAAAAAAAAAACATACCACTGCCAAGAAGAAGCACGCAGGTGGGACACCAGCAACAAAGCCACCTGACCATCAACAGAAGGCGAGACTCGAGGCAGAGCCGAACGAGCCGATTAAGAGGTGGAGCCGTGGGAAGACCCCGGGTGCGACCACTGAGCAGGCAAAGCCGGAAACCCGAGCCGGCAAAGAAGTAGATGGAACGTCTGCAGTACCAAAAAACATCCTAACGCCAGCGAGCCGCCAGGAGGTTGGAGACTAAGACCCTGACAGACTCCAGAGAAGGGACACCGCGAGACTCCGAAAACGCCAACAGGCCGGGAAAGCCAGGAACCAGAATCGAAACCTGGCAATAGGAGAGCCAAAAGGAACAAACAAAACACAACATGTAGGACAAAAGGAAGCTGAGGAACGAAGAAGGTAGGCAGCAAACGGGAACGAAAGGACCGGACCAACACCAAAAGCAGCTGGACATGTTCCAACACGTCATAGGGAGACTGAAGATGCAGAGGGGACATGACCACCACAAGCAAAATCTACAGAGGAAGCGACAGGGTAGAGAAATACAAGCCAAGGAACACATGGGACACACGTAACGGGGAAAACATGTTAAACTGAACGCCCAAATGAGCCATAGAAAAGAGAGAAGAAGCACACCAGAGTCAGAGTAGGAGACAATAGGAATGCATGAGGAAGGGATGTGGCAGAGGCCAACCCCACACCTAGCGTCAAGAGCAGAGAAGAGATCCTAGAAGGCTCAAGAACCTGTACAGAAGTCGAATGACAGGCGAGAGGCAGCACTAAGAGCCAAAGCTCATCCCCAGCAAGCACAACTAGGCGAGGACAACTAGGGGAGTACAGAGAATCCAATGTACATGGAAAAGCTAAGCCTGTTACAGCAAGACCGGCAAGGAATGACGGACCCAGAAAATCATGGGAACAAAGAACCCAAACAAGGAAGGCACCAGAAAGAACCACGGAAGGGCCAAACAAAGCGCCACAACCATACCCCAACACGTAACCGCAGCATCAAAACCAGAGTAAAACGTCACCACATAACACCCCTGGACACAGGAACATGTACCACATATCAGGCACCTCCACCTTTGTACCTTGGAACGTGGTGGAGGTGGGGCCCTGAAACTCAAGCATGGGTAGACATGTATAGGAGAGGGACTGAATGGGCATTGTCAGGCGCCGCCTTATATGGGCCAAGAGGCCTCCTGCAGTCACTTGTGTTCTGACGTTTGAATCGGGAGGTAAGGAACAAGAGCTGCCACTTATGGGCCAATAGCCCTGCTGTAGGCACCCCTGTTTGAATGTTTTATGTCCTCATGTACGTATGTACTCCCATTCGTACCCCCAAAACGAATCAGTGCCTGGACGAAGAAGACACCAGACCGCATAAACTCGCCTGCAGAACATAGGCACGGAAAGGTCATGACAATTTTACTAGGTTGGTACTGCCGGAGGCGGCTAAGGTATCGTGCACCCGCAGCACAGAACACCGGGAGCACCACCTGCGGAAGCAGGCCAAGGCCACTCATGCAGGAGAAGAGGAAGGGAGAGGCGAAGGAGGCGCCCCTCACCCAAAACACAGGGAAAACCAGGCGTCCTCCCCATAGCAGCACTCCAGAACACCCACAGGAACAACGGGGAACGGACTGGAGAATGAGAAGAGCGAGAGGCAAAGCACACGAGAGAAAATGGATCAAGAACACCAGTACTTGTGCACACCGCTCGAACCAAAACAAACTCCCACGGCACATGCGCAGGACACGAAAGAAAAGTAGCCCAACAGTTTGTATCCCGAGTGATTCGCTTAAGAGAAGAAACAGCCCAACGCACGGGAACAGAAGCCAAAAAGAAGTAAGCAACGACATACATAGCTGGCTCATTTAATGAAAACAATGAACTGAATTGGAACCCAACCGGGCTACCAGTAGCCCAACCAGGCCACAAACAGCCCAACCCGGCATATCAGACCAGGGGTATGGAAGGAAAACGAGCAGTGCCAAGACACAGCACGGAGAGAAGATACATGAACAAAAGAATGAGACAGGGCCGAAAACCAAGAGGAAACACGGAAGAGGACCAACAAGCCCTAGAAAGGACTGGAGGGAAGCCTCACTGAAAGACGACAGACGTTCCAATAATATGGGAAGGAGCAAAAACCATCCCGAACCTTCAAGAACACAGAAGCAAGCACAAATGACAAAGGCATAGAAAGGCCCAGTCGCACCCAAGACCAAAAGTCATGCAGAACCCCAAGAAGAGGGGAACATGATGGAGAAGTCCCGTCCCAAGAAAAAGGGGGTGAATAACGGAGAAGAGCACCCACCGACAGATTGGAACCAACGGGCGTAAGGGACATAGAACCGAGCCCGGGGAGGGGCCAATGCCCAACAACTCGTGCGGAGAGTGGGGAAGGAAAAACCCCACTCCGTGCAACCGTAAGCCCCGCCCAGAAGGTAGAAAAAAACCCGGCGGGGTCCAATGGGGCCCGAGGCTCCCCAAGTCAGCCCCTCCCCAGCCTCTGGAACCCACACGGCAGACCCCGGAGCCGAGCCATCCCCCCAGAGACCCAGCCTCAAGTAAAAACTGGGGCAGCCGTGACAAGCACAAAGGAAGGGAGCCCACTGGCAGACTCATACAACACGGCTGGAGGAACAGGCTCGAAAGCCCCCATCGCTACCCCGGGTGGGGAATTCCCCCAAGACCAATCGTGTCTCAAAACCCCGGGATGGAAGCCTCGCCCTGACCCCGAACCCACGGACGGTAAGGACCCAGATGCAGGGAGGAAGGGGAGGGGGGGGGGGAGGACCCGACAAGACCACCAACCAAAACGGGGCAGCCCTAGGGCTTCCGGGGAGCAAACAACTTAGCACGTTGCCACCAAAACCCAACGTGCAACGCCTGTGCTGCCTGCACCCCCAGGGACCTGAGCATTTACTATAAAAGGACTCGTGCTCAGGTAATCCCAGGAAGGATACTGCTAACCGGTGCCCATATCTACCAAACAACCTTCTAAGAACTGAACCTCCAGGACGTGTACACCCACGGGAACCTAGCACGGGGAACCACCAGAAGAAGGAGGAGAACTCAGTACAAAAGAGGAAAAGAACCAAAGGCAGACCCCACCAGGTGGACAAACAAAAAGAAAAAGAAAGCCCCGCAAGAGTACAGCGTACCCCGGAGGAACAGAGCCGGCCGCTTTGATTGGTGAAAATAAGCTGCGCAGTACCCTGCGCCCCTACTAGTCCAAACTGCCCCTTACCCTAAGGCAAACAAGGGAGACAGAATCCCCTATCACACAAAGGGCAGCCGAAAACTAAGCAGTAAACGGCCTAGCAGAAGCAGGATCCAAGAAACTTGTGAAGGTAACCCCACGCCCCAAGGGCAGTACTTACAGGGCACCTAGGGAAGGGAACCCTAGGCGCATCAAGCCCGAGAACTGGAGACTCACTCTCGGCTCACGCACCACCTAAAAGACAGACACCACACTCTAGGTACAGTGCTGAAACAACCACTGGAGCTGGTTGATACCTGGTTGATAGGGTTCTGGGAGTTCTTCTACTCCCGGCCTTTCAAGCCCGGCCCGAGGCCAGGCTTGACTTATGAGAGTTTGGTCCACTAGGCTGTTGCTTGGAGCGGCCCGCAGGCCCACATACCCACCACAGCCCGGTTGGTCCGGCACTCCTTGGAGGAATAAATCTAGTTTCCTCTTGAAGATGTCCACGGTTGTTCCGGCAATATTTCTTATGCTTGCTGGGAGGACGTTGAACAACCGCAGACCTCTGATGTTTATACAGTGTTCTCTGATTGTGCCTATGGCACCTCTGCTCTTCACTGGTTCTATTCTACATTTTCTTCCATATCGTTCACTCCAGTACGTTGTTATTTTTCTGTGTAGATTTGGTACTTGGCCCTCCAGTATCTTCCAGGTGTATATTATTTGATATCTCTCTCGTCTTCTTTCTAGTGAGTACATTTGGAGGGCTTTGAGACGATCCCAATAATTTAGGTGCTTTATTGCGTCTATGCGTGCCGTATATGTTCTCTGTATTCCCTCTATTTCAGCAATCTCACCTGCTCTGAAGGGGGAAGTGAGTACTGAGCAGTACTCAAGACGGGACAACACAAGTGCCTTGAAGAGTACAACCATTGTGATGGGATCCCTGGATTTGAAAGTTCTCGTAATTCATCCTATCATTTTTCTGGCTGTCGCAATATTTGCTTGGTTATGCTCCTTAAACGATAGGTCGTCAGACATTATTATTCCCAAATCCTTTACATGCTGTTTTCCTACTATGGGTACATTTGATTGTGTTTTGTACTCTGTATTATGTTTAAGGTCCTCATTTTTACCGTACCTGAGTACCTGGAATTTATCGCTGTTAAACATCATGTTACTTTCTGATGCCCAGTCGAAAACTTTATTAATATCAGCTTGACGTTTTTCAATGTCTTCAGCCGAGGTAATTTTCATACTGATTTTTGTGTCATCTACAAAGGATGATACGAAGCTGTGACTTGTATTTTTGTCTATATCTGATATGAGAATAAGGAAAAGCAGCGGTGCAAGGACTGTACCCTGAGGTACAGAGCTTTTAACTGCACTTGGACTAGATTTTATATGGTTGACCGTTACTCGCTGAGTCCTGTTTGACAGAAAACTGAGTATCCAGCGTCCTACTTTACCGGTTTACTTTACACTGGAGCTGGAGCACACAACCGGTGCCTTTAGCATCAGCCGAAGAACTGGGGTGTGGATCGCCAGCATGGGGGGGGGGGACCTGCGCAGACAGCGGCGCAGTGACGTGTGACGTCATGCTAGTTTGCTCGTTTCTTTTTGGGGAGTTCTATCCACTAGTTCGGCGTTAGGTAGCAATTTTAACCAGAATAGGGGTTTGTTTTGGGATGCTTACCTTTCTGGGTGCCCGACCCAGTCGATGGCAGACATAGAATGCTTCCAACCACACGGGGGTTTCTATAAGCCATTGCTCCCCTTGCCTCTCTGAGGGGGCCAGGTTCTAACTCGTGGTCAGAAAGAGTAGAAAAACCCAGGCGGGGTCCAACGGGGGCCTTGGCCAAGTCAGCCCCTCCCCAGCTGCGGGAACTACCACATCAGAAGCCGAAGCGACCAACACCCCCAAATCCGGGTTTCTATAACCAAAACAGGACAGCCTCGGGGCTTCTGGAGAAGCAATCAACCTAAACATAACGTGCCATGCCTGTGTTGCCTGTACCCAAATAGTCATCAGTGGACTGGGTAAACCAAGTCATGAACAAGCAACAAAACTCGCAGGACTCTGGATCGAAGATGTCACTGACAAAGCACGCAGTGTGACGGAGGCAAAAAACAACGAGTCACCCTGAGACAAGGGGACAGAGCAACCCCTCAAACTCGCACAAAACGAGGGGGGGACTCAGGGGTCACATCCATCAGACCCACATGCCCCCGTGGGGATTCCCAGGGTCCTGAGACAGAACACACGCTCAGGGAAGCCCAAGCAGGGTAGTGCTAACCGGCGCCCAAGTCTACCAACTAACTTTCTAGAAGCTGAACCCCCAGGATGTGTTCATTCACGAGGGCCTAGCAGGCCACCTAGAAACACAGATATATATAAACTGAAGTCCTAGACAGGGGGCAACAAACCAAAACGAGTCTGCCCGAAACGCTGCGCGTACTAGTGGCTTTACAAGATTGTAATTACTATGCTATGTATCCTCACAATCCCAATGTACCTTCTTGTATATATATAAATAAATAAATAAATAATAAATAAATGAATAAAAGGCAGAGCCCCTCCCCTCTCCCTCACCAGGCAGGAAAACAAAAAAGAAAAACTCTGTAAGAGGGCAACATACCCAGGCAGAACAGAGCTGGCTGCTATAACAGGTGATAACTCGCTGTGCAGTACCCCGTGTCACTACCAGTGCAAACTACCCCTTACCCTAAAGTAAACAATGGAGGAAGAAACCCTCAAGCACACTCAGGGCAGTCAATTACCGAGCAGCAAATGACCAACAGAGGTTGACCCCAAGGTGATGTGTGGAAGATAACCCCAAGCCCCAAGGACAGTGCTTACAGGGAACATAGGGAAGGTGATTTTAGGTGCAAGCAGCCCGAGTACTTGGGAGAGTACTCCTGATTTACGCACCATCAAAGAAGACTTGCCCCACACCACAAGGCACAGAGCAGATGACAGAAGTCAGGAGCCAGTGCCACAGCGACCAATGCCATTCACATCAGCCGAAGAACTGAAGGTGTGGGTAGCCGGCATGAGGGGTCTGGGGCTCCCCCCTTCCCCATCCCGGGAAGGGGGGAGCTGCGTAGACGGCGGCACGGCAAGTGGTGACGTCATGCTTGTTTGTTTTTCTTTGGGAAGTTCTGTCCACTCGTTTGACTTTCAGTAGTAGTTTCAACCAGAAAAGGGGTTTGTTTTGGGATGCTTACCTTTCTGTGTGTCTGACCCGGACAATGGCAGACACAGAATGCTCCAAATCACATGTGCAATTCTATAAGCCATTGCTCCTCGTGCTTCCCTGAGGAGGCCAGGTTCTGGCTCTGGCCAGGTTGCTAGTTCTGGTTCTGACCAGGTACCTGGTAGGCTTATGAACTCCATTCACACTGACTGATGCCAAAGTATATATCCTTATCAGCCTGGATAGCTCCAGGGAGTCAAAGGGGCTCCTCCCAGAAAATATCTGCATAATTTACAATGTATAGTATATCCAGTACTGTTTAGTAGTGTGTATTGAGACAATGTCTGTACTGAGTGGTACTCTATATATACAAAGCACAAGGTACATACTACATTTTCTGGTGTATAAGATATATTTAATTTTACATGGTTATTTTGTGAGACTTTTTATTTAGAATATTTCATCATACATTTATTTTAAAGTGATTTTCAAGTGGTTTTTTATTGTGAAAACATGATTTTTGTGCATGTATACTATATATATAGGGTTAGTTGTGGACTAAAGACATGCAACCTATCTGTCGGCAAATACAGTTCGTATATATATTAAACCCAGATGACATCACACGTTTCTAGCAAACACAAACATTAATATCAAACCAATTACCCATTAGGCCATTAAGTACCCATTAAATTACTCATTCAGGCCAGGTGCCTGACAGCTGAGTGGACAGCGCTCAGGGTTCGTAGTCCTAAGGGTCCAGGTTCGATCCCCGGCAGAAACAAATGGGCAGTTTCTTTCATTTATTGACATAAATTGACATAGATAAAAAGCAATCTACATGCAATGCTAACCTTCCGCTTCATGTTTATCCTCTTGGGAACGGAGTGAACAATCGATAGTGTTGCAGAGAAAACAAAGGTCTGCCGCTTTTCTTTAGCCTCTTTGTTACTATTTATCAATTCCAGGAGTTGTGTTAACTCTTGAAAGTGTCCACGCTCAACCATACGATCCGTTTCATCTATTGCCAGGTAACTGTAAAAATGGGAAGTACAAAAATAAAAAATAAAAGGTAGAAGAAGAAACTACATGTTGTCATCATTACCTCATTTCCTAAATTCACGGATGTGAAGAAGCAGTCATCCAGTAAGGATAGAGAAGTACTATAGGGGGAAAAAATAGTCCATAACACATGATAATGTTTCAAGTGATGAGTGGTTTACCTGGTATACTGAATTAAAACCAGTATCGAGTAGTGAAAAGAATATGAACATAATATTCAATGGTGTTGGGCTCTAGGCAATGACATATGACAAAATTGGCACCATATGGGCAAGAGTGAAAGAAAGGTGTAAGCCACGAATGTGGTACACAGTTGATGACAGGCTTCTAGTACTCCTAATCTTAACACTTTCGCGCTCTGGGCGAGCGAGCGCTGCACTACCCCAGGTGGATTTGGGCTTTCCACGGGAGCGTGCGGTAATTCTGGAAAGTGTATACTCTTTTCAACTTTGTCACCTCAATTCTCGTCCTAAGTTTTTCAATTTGGTATCAATGTGTTCACAATAGAATTCTCTACACGACTAACTGCGTATAAACTCCAAAAGCCCAGCTTACCACCCACAGCAAACAGAGAAAGTGAGAGCGAGTTACTGGGGAGCGCCCAAGAACAATAAAATGCGTACACTCTTTTCACTTTGGTCACCTCAATTCTCATCCTAGGTCTTTCCTTTTGGTATCAATGTGTTTGCAATAAAATCCCCTACAGGAGTACATGCATATAATATATAAAACCGGGTCACACTCCACCTGCGAACAAGATGAAAGCAGACCATGCGTTATCCGTGATGGACTGCCCATTCACCTACCCGTTACATTCCCAATTCCCCCCCACAAATGTTTAACATTTTTTCCGGTTGCTAACATCAATTTTAGTGTTACAGTATTCATTTTGGTATCAAATTGTTCCTAATGGAATGCATTAGATGGATATATGCATATAAGGGCAAATTGAAGAACAATATTTCCAATACAATACGATAAAATATAAACCACAATATAAAATATATAAAAAACAAAAACTTTTTGTATTTACCAATCCAGTGTTTTTGTGGAGCATGACATGGGTTGAACATTAGTTTTATCCACTCCACTTGCAGCAGGAAATCGTTTCCTGAAGGGTCAACCCATGTTTTTTTATAGGTGGAGTGGATAGTGGGCAAGCATTACTGCTTATCAGCCCAGAATTGTTTCTTGCGATAGTATTTGCTGTAGCACGGTGCCGCACACGGTGGTACATCACATGACTTGCACTTATAGCTTCAGTCCCTCCTATTACCAGACAGTTTGCAAACACGACACCTCAGACACTGCTGTATCTTTACTTGGGAATGGGACAAGTTTCTGTTCAGACATTCTGTATTATCCACAATACCTGCTTGATACCTGCTTGATGGGGTTCTGGGAGTTCTTCTACTCCCCAAGCCCGGCCCGAGGCCAGGCTCAACTTGTGAGAGTTTGGTCCACCAGGCTGTTGCTTGGAGCGGCCCGCAGGCCCACATACCCACCACAGCCCGGTTGGTCTGGCACTCCTTGAAAAAAAACAATCTAGTTTTCTCTTGAAGATGTCCACGGTTGTTCCAACAATATTTCTGATGCTCGCTGGTAGGACGTTGAACAATCACGGACTCTGATGTTTATACAGTATACTCTGATTGTGGCTATGACACCTCTGCTCTTCATTGGTTCTATTTTGCATTTTTCTTCCATATTTCGTTCACTCCAGTACGTTGTTATTTTACTGTGCAGATTTCGGACCTGTCCCTCCAATATTTTCCACGTGTATATTATTTGGTATCTTTCTCGTCTCCTTTCTAGTGAGTACATTTGAAGAGCTTTAAAACAATCTTAATAATTTAAGTGCTTTATCTCGTCTATGCGTGCCATATACGTTCTCTGTATTACCTCTATTTCACCAATCTCTTGCTCTGTAGGGGAAAGTGAGTACTGAACAGTACTCAAGACGGGACAACACAAGTGATTTGAAGAGTACAACCACTGTGATGGGATCTCTGGACTTGAAGGTTCTCGTAATCCATCCTATCATTTTTCTGGCTGATGCAATACTTGCTTGGTTATGCATCATTATTCCCAAATCCTTGACATGCTGTTTTCCTACTATGGGCAGATTCGATTGTGTTTTTTACCCTGTATTATATTTCAGATCCTCATTTTTGCCGTACCTGAGTACTGTACTTGCAATTGATCACCGTTAAACATCATGTTATTTTCTGCTGCCCAATCGAAAACTTTGTTAACAGTATCGCTCGCTTTGGACACCGATCACATTCACTTTTTCTCTCTTGAGTCCTAGCCGTGGACAGGACTCGCATCCACTCCAAACATATTTGTATAAAATTCATTTTTTATCCAATCGACCTCGGGATAGTTTCAAAATAAGAGCCTTTAGAGTACGTATAATTTAATACCAAAATGAAAGATGTAACACGAAACTTGATGTCAGAACACTTGAAAGATTATAAATACGTTTTTGGGTCTAAATTTTAAATTTTAAAATATTTTTTAAAATTCCATTTATTGTGCTATTATTATGCGACTAGTTTTAAAATGCGCGCCTTTATATTGCGAAAAATTTGATACCAAAACAAGCGATGTAACACGAAAATTTATGTTATCAAACTGAACGAGTATACACATTAGGTTGTGGTGTGCAAATTGGTGCTCGTTCATGGGTAACATTAGGCTTTGCTGCGGGGAGTCTCGCCAGGCTTTTGGACATTATATGCATATACACCTGCAGGAAATTTAATTGCGAACACAATGATACCAAAATGAACGATATAGCACGAGAATTAAGGTGAGAAAACTGAAACTAGTATATACATTTAGGCGTCACCGCACGCTCGCCCGCACCATCCGCCCCATGACGTCAAAGTCTGCGGCGATCACGCGCCGCGCGCGATAGTGTTAATGTCTGTTTGTAGTTTTTCAATGTCTTCAGCAGAGGTAATTTTCATGCTGATTTTTGTATCATCTGCAAAGGATGGGTTTTCTGGGAAAATCTGGGCAAATACATTTTTTTTTCTTACCAGAAGCACCACTAGGCATAATCAGACACTCGTCTTCTGACTCAGACGTTGAAGATACAGCTACAGGTGAAGTGAATAGTGGCCACCTCACACCTGATGGTTCGGGTGTTGCAACATTGGCTCCAGTGGCATTTACATCAGCAGCATGTGGGATGTTATCATTTTGCTGAGGACATTTACTAGGCTGAAAGAACAGTAGTGCCGAAATGACTTCTTCATGGAAATGGAGTAATGCGAGTTTCCTTATATCTGTTGTGTAGTATTTATACAACACAAACATTGTGGATAGCCATTTGAAAAAAATAGAACGTCATTTTCTTCATCCATTTGTAACTTTTTTCATTTGTTTGTGAAATGATAATACTTGACCATTTGGTCAAAGTGATCAACACCTTTCATGTTTGTATTGTAGTCACAGATTGTATTTGGCTTCCTCACAGTGACCTGTTGCACTGAAGATGTTCCATCAGGCGTCCGTACTTGTATTCTTCGTTCAACTTCTTGTGTATCTGCATTGTGGCAAGTTGTTATGAGTGAAACAATTCGCTTATCTTTCCACAAAATTATAAAAGTATTTTCCTTCCATTGGAATAAAGATTTATCTACTGGCATTTTACCCTTTGCTTGGATCTAGAGGGTTTTAGGTGCACCACGTTACATTCTGAAAGTACCACAAGGTATACCCCTTCTTCAAGCAGCAATTCACTCAATCGAACCGAATTATAAATAGTTGTCCATATATAAATGGTAACCTGTTCTTCAATGGTTCTATCAAGCCCATTACCATTTCTATCGTCATCTTCCCAATTCCTGCATAAATTTAAAAATCAAAGATGTAACCAGTCTTGGATTCAGCTAGCATGTAGAGTTTTATTCCATATTTATCAGGTATATTGGGATTATAAGACTTGAAAGCTAGACGGCCCCGCCATGCCATTGTGCCTTCATCCAAACTCAAATTTTTCTGAGGAATGTATGTTTTGAATTTCTGTGTGAGATATTGCATGACAGATCGAACTTTGATAAGTCTGTCTGGAGTCTTTAAGTGTCACTGGTTCCCATCTCTTGTTTGTGGTGGTCCTAGTACGTACATTGCTTTGGGAAGCATACAAATTAGTCTCATAGGTCATATATTTCAGCAAGCTTTGAATAAGAAATAATTGAATAAAACCCAAAGGAGTGCTAGGTACAGGAACAGTCAAGCCTGGTATTACTGTAAAACTGTCTACAAAGGGTGGAGTATTGTCAGTAGACCAGCCTTCATCAGAACCTGTTGGTGGTGTACGTGTGGTAGACTTGGTACGAGTTCCAGTACCTCGCCGTGCACGTATGGCAGTCTGAACCTCAGAATCGTCACTTCCATCACTATCAAAATCCTCTTCTGCTGTTTACGTTTCAGTGAAATCACTACCTACATCACTATCAGTATCATCAAGACTTTCGTCATCAGATAACTCAGATAAATCATCAAATACAGTCTGGAATGTAGAGGGTGTGAGTCTCACTGTTCTGTACTTTTGCTGTACACTACTTAGCTTCTCTTTCTGACACGTTTCTTTCCTGGAATGGCTCTGTTCTTGATCAATATCCATCATGGAGTAAGTGCAGATAGTATCTAAAGCCGCACTAAGAAATATAGCCACGGAAAATAGCCAAAATGTTCACACGTTTGTGATGCGAGGGGAGGCAGGACCGGTCATGAGCATGGAGCAAAACCAATGGGCCTACAGCGTGGGTCGCACTGCCTAGGTGCCACATGGCCTAGCAAGGAAAAGGGGAAGACGATGGCATGCGGTTTAAAATCAATCCCCCCAAAATCGGATAAAAACCTGATTTTTAGCATATATATTACTTTTTGACACAATACTGCGTCATTACTGGACATTCGCACTACTAAATTTTTTATGCAATGCTGTGTCATTACCGGACAAAAGTGGTAAAATGGTAGCAGGATTTTTTCATGGATCAAGGTAAACTCCATTATATTCACGGAGCAACCCGTCCTCCTAATAGAGCGTTGCATTTTGATGCATAACCTATCTAAGGCCAAAAATCATTATATTATACTTGTACCAGAAAATGATAGTGGCTTGCAAAATATACATACTTTCTCATTTTCTTCTGTTTTGGGTAGATTAGGAGAGGGTCCTTTAGTATGACAGTTTCTTGGCTATGGGAAACCTTAGGAGGACGGGCTGCACAGAAAGCAATTATATCCTTATTTGCATCATACATGTGAAATCCAGACAATAATTGTTAAAATTGTCATATGATGATAACTTCATTACCCCATGAGTCAACATATAAAGATAACCGCTGTCCAACGGTTAATGTTCTTTTAACATGCATGATTAAACAGCCATTTGCATGTCTTTGAATTTGGCTTTCTTCATCAGCTTTATTTAATTCCTTTCTCTGACATCAATGGTTGACAGCCATCACCTTTCAGAGCTATCTTCTCTGGCACTATTCAATGTAGTTTTCTGCATGCAGCCCCTTCGGCTCCCTGGAGCTATCGGGCTAATATGCGATACATTAGGCCAGGGCTTTAGTCAATGAGTTCGGCCTACTGGGACCACGAGCCAGAACCTGGCCCCCCTCAGAGAGACATTGGGTGCAATGGTCCTGGAAAATTCCTGTGACTGAGGGTTTTTCCCCCTGCCATCGACCACGGTTAGGCACCCAGAAAGGTAGGCATAACAAAACAGACCCCACTTGGTAAGAAAATTGCAACCGAAAACAGAACAGAGAGGCAGAACGCCCACAATTTTTGAAGGAGTTTATCACCATCTATATGGTGATCAGGTGGCTTTGTTGGTGGTGTCCCACCTGAGAGCTTTGTCTCGGCGACAGTATGTTTCCTGGTGTTCTTTTTGCCATTTTCTCTCTCTTCGTAGATTGTCTTCTATTTATGATCAGGTTGTCTTGTCCTTCCTTTCTTGGCTTTTTCAGGACCATCATTTGATGCCAAGTACTGCCGCCTCGAATTGTATGACACTTACGTTCGGGGTGGATGTCACTTCTGCCCCATTCTATAAGCGTCCTCGTGCTTTGTTTCACCTCCAGCTTGCTCATGCGCAGCCTGAGCCGTCCTGGTCCTTGGACAGAGTTCTCTAATCTCTCTTCTCTTCAGTTTGTAGTGGCCCCTTCGGTTCACTGTTGTTTTTCCAAGGCTCTCTTTCTGTTGGCATTGGCTTCTGGGGGTCGGATTGGCGAGTTTCATGCTTTCCTCCAGAACAGGGGTTTCTGCTCCTTCGGTCCTGGTAGTCGATATGTTCATTTGCAGATTTCTTCTTTTCTGGAGAAGAACGAGATAGCTGCCTTCCGGAGGGGTCCTTAGATCATTAATGCTTGGTTGATCAGGCTGGGGGTACATCATGTGTTGTGTTCGGTTGTGGCTCTTCGCCATTACCTGCGTGCCTTGGCTTCTGTGGCCGGGGATACGCTTTAGGTTGAAATGGTTTCCCTCGTTCCCCGTTCCAGGGCTTGGGTCTCCCAGGTCATCCACAGGGTTAAGTCTAGCCGGCCTGCGATCTATTCTCGTGTCCATTATGTTCGTAAGTTGCTGTGTTGATTGCTGTCTTCAGCAACATGTCTTGGGCTGATGTTGGGCATGGGGATTTTGGAGATTGAACAGGGTCCTGGCTCGATGTTATTTGGTCAATGTTCCTGGTCCAGCTTGTTCTTGTGTCGCTTTGGGCCGCAGGTTGCAGCCAGTTGTCTCGACTTCGAGTCGACTTTGTTTTGGGACGCCTACTTTTTTGAGTGCCAAACCCGGTCAATGGCAGACATAGAATGCTTCCAACCACATAAAAGGTTTCTGTAGGCTGTTGCTCCTCATGCCTCTCTGAGGGGGCAAAGTTCTGGCTCGTGGTTCCCGGTAGGCATAGAACTCCAGTCGAATTGACTGATGCCATAGCCTAATACATACGGTATATATCAGCCCGATAAGCTCCGAGAAGCTGGAGAGGCTCTCCACAGAAAAAATCAGCTTTAGATATGTCTGCTAATTTTAAGTACTTAATGGGAACAGTTTAACCTTAATTCAAACACAGCTTACCGAACATCTGGGACCTGTGTGAGGTGTTTGTTGCCTTGCTCTATCAATTCCCAAAGCCGTCCAGGAGTCCCAATGACAATCTCGGGACCACGGCGAAGCAAACGTTCCTGCTTTTCATGCGACACACCACCCATAATCACAGCTGTTTGAATGTCAGTATGGACCAGTACTGCTGCTAAATGGCTTTTGATCTAAAATGAGATACAATATTATATTTTGATGTGATTCTCAGTGGTACACTTCCAATATTCAAGTATTCAAATATATGATAGATAATATGTTATGGAACAAGTTATCAAGGAATAATTGCACTGTTGTTACTGTTACTATGATAAATGTCAATTTAGACACCCAACCCCTACATTATTATGATGCACTGTCTGCATATCAATAAAATATAGCTATATAAAAAAGTGTAAACAGAGAACTTTATGCAAATACTATACTTGAATAGCAAGTTCCCGAGTCGGTGTTACAATGAGTGCTCTAAGCGGCTTCTGGGGTTCCTCACTGCTTTTGGTAGCCACATTTTCATCAAGAAAGTCAAAATCAACATCATCTATAACTTTTACACATCCGAAACTTGTGTTATCTTCATCTGCCTTTTCAGAAGTCGTATCACTGTGAGCATCACTTTCAAAATCGTCACTTTCATTGTCAAAACTTCCCTCTTGAACTTCTTTATTATCTGCATCTAAAATATCATCATCATCATCATCATCATCAATAGATTCTGAACTTGCACTATTCTCTAAGGTAGCAACATCGTGCACTTGAGCACCATGCTCAGACTCAAGATCACTATTTTCCACACCGCTATCCCCAGCCTCGTCATGTAGGCACTCTGCTTCGTGCTTTTTATCCACAAGGATGCCATGTATAATGGGAATTCCAAAAGCGAGAGTTTTCCCACTCCCAGTCTCAGCAGCTCCAATGATATCCATGCGACCTTTGATTGCAGCAGGGAGCACAAGTTTCTGAAAGAACACAAAACTCTGGTCAACTATGTAAACTTTTAATTTTAACTGTACAGTACATATACTATAGTTATTCAATATACACAAAAACATTATAAGAGACTGTAGCAACTACATTATAAATAATGTAGCAGCTACTTAAATATTCCAGGAATTCCAATTACTACAAATGACATCTGCACATATTTTCCAAAGAATTCCACATAATACTACAAATGATATCACACAGTTTCCCATCAGCCAATTAATGAGCAGCCTTCCTCTAAACCAAGTCATGTGGACAGGGATATAAGGCTGTCTAACCACAGCATCAGGGTAGTCTCAACATAGATGAGCCAGAAGCATCACCACCTCTGATCTAACTCAGCCGACAGCCTCACATCATAGCAGCCAGCAGCATCCCCTTGTACCAGTGTTGATTCCACCAACCATGACCGGTCTCTGCTGCCACCAGCATTCAAGAGCAGCACTTTACAGTTCACCATATTATGACACTGTTGTACCATGCATCAACTACTGTTGTAACCATTTACATCAAATATATATCTAGTTACTGTATTTTGTGTCCATTGTCCAACCTGTCATAATGTTACAAACATTTAAATCATTTATTAGAACATTTCTTACTATGCAAATAGTTAATCATATAACATCATAAAGGTCTTCACTTGATACCACACAATAATTTCAGCAAATGCTATTGACTTGCTTTGGGTTTTAGTTTGGCCAAATTTATCTTTTATAACAGATCAAATCAATGGATGAAAACCAAGGTGTTCAGATACATTGCAAGTAAATATTGTTTCCCAGTCATGTAGCAGTCCCCATGGCATAGTGGTAAGACACTTGCTAGACGCTTCGCGTGCGCTTTAGATTGGGTTCGTATCCTGGCCAGGGAGGATTGACATGGCGCCAATTCTTAACTGTAGCCTCTGTTCACCCAGCAGTGAATGGGTACCTGGTTGTTAAACGATTTGGTGGGTCGTTTTCCGGGGAAAATTAGGATAAAGGACCTGCCTGAAATGCTATGCATGCTAGTGGCTTTACAAGAATATAAGAACTCTTGTATATATAAATAAAAATGAAAAAATGTACAGAAAGCATGTAGTCTTAATGAGAACCCTCTAGGCCAATGACTGACCTTAACCAAGAGGCAACACAACAGATACCTAACTCCCGGGTACCTATGTTTACTACTAGTTGATGAGAGGCATCAAGTGAAAGGAAATGTGCCCAAAAGTTTCATTGAATTGTCAATTGTCAAAGAATTGTCACAACCCCATTGTGACAATTCCATTGGTTCCTTAAGAACCAATAAACATTAAAATGGTATTAATACGCAACGTAGCATGGTATGTCCGTATGCTTTGGTGGGATTTTCAACTGATGTGAATAGAACTTGGTTGTGGAGTACTAGTGCTTGTGCTCTCGTGTGACTGGTTGCTGGTTTCATGTTATACACATTATGAAAGTTTCTAGGTGTCTACCCTTGTGTCATTCATATGTTAAAAGACCATACAACTAAACAAATGTCACACAGGATCCAAATGAAGTCTTATGTCCTGGAAGGAGCAGAACTTGCCTAAGGAAGCAACCAAGTGGTTTAAGCTAAGAAATCCCACCTCAAATTAATAATGAATGCATCACTAATTGCCAGTTGGAGTAGACTGATTTGTTTACACTAATGTAGTTACTCCAACAACACTTCTTACAAGTGATGTGTTGCTAAAATCACCACATACACATACGAATGATATTCATAGTTCCAAGTTGCTAAGCTAATGACACTACAAAAAGTCATTTAGTAAGAAAACTGATTTAATCATGGGAAAATGAACAATAATTATTTATTACCTGAATCTCTGTGGGTTGGCTGAAGCCTAATTCAGCCAGGGCTTGCAACACAGGTGGGGGAACGAAGACTTTCTCCCAGGCAGACACATCCACTTTCTGTATAGTACCTTTTTTTCCCCCATGGAATGTGGCACTGTCATAGCGTGCTTTCTTAGCTGGAGTACCTTCCAATCCTGTCTTATGCTGCTTTTTTCTTTTATTTTTCTTAACTGCTGAAAGTCCAACCTCCTGGTCTGGAAGGTTCTCAATATTCTCTTCACTTGGAATTTCATTCATACATTCATTTTGGTCAGTTTCTTTATCGCCCAAATCTGAAGCCTTCTTTTTCTTTTTCTTTTTCTTCTTCTTCTTTTCCTTTTTAGTTTGGCTACCCAATTCAGATTCAATATTCAATTCTTTCACTTCTGCCACTTTCTTGTTTTTCTTCTGAAATTAATGTTTTACAATTACTGAAATGCAGCATCAACAAATAATCAAACATATACACATATACTGATATATACACATACATTAATTTTATATATATATATATATATATATATATATATATATATATATATATATATATATATATATATATATATATATATATATATATATATATATATATATATATATATATATATATATATATATATATATATATATATATATATATATATATATATATATATATATATATATATATATATATATATATATATATATATATATATATATATATATATATATATATATATATATATATATATATATATATATATATATATATATATATATATATATATATATATATATATATATATATATATATATATATATATATATATATATATATATATATATATATATATATATATATATATATATATATATATATATATATATATATATATATATATATATATATATATATATATATATATATATATATATATATATATATATATATATATATAGTCTCTATATTCATTTCAGCAGATAATCTGCTTGAAGCAATCAAAGCGACGTCCACCAGGACCTTGCCCCACATCCCCAAGGCTGCCCGTCATCAAGCAGCAGCCAAACTCACCAGTCTGCTGACAAAGGTCAACAATGCTCCTAGAACCATTGGAGCATGGCACAATCTCCTTCTATTTGGGAATGCATGCCTAGCATTACCGCCCAGGAGAGACAAGTCATTAGCAACCTCTGTAATCAGAGCTCTTAATGAATTCCCCAGAGCAGACAACCTGGTCCGCCTCCCCCCTCGTGCCAAGGACACCAGCCGCAGGACGACCAACAATAACTCATCTGAGAACCACAAAATGAGAGCACAGATCACCAGGAAAATAGAAGAGGGCAATACCACAGGTGCCATCAGAATCATGACCAGCGATGACACTATTGCCCCCAGGAACGCCACGACAGCAGAGGCTCTTCAAGACAAACACCCACCCAGAGCCCCCGACAGCAGCAGGGATCCCCAGGAAAACAATGCTGGCATAGAACCCTTGACTGTTCGAGAATCTGAGGTGTACAAAGCAGCCATGTCTTTCCCAACAGGTTCAGCAGGGGGCTTTACAGGCCTAAGACCCCAGCACATCAAACAAATGCTGAACCCGGTGCTTGGAGATGCTGCAAAGGATCTTCTAGTGGAACTTACCAGATTCTCCAACATGTGTTTGGCTGGCGGCATCCCTGAGGACATCAGGCCTGTCTTTTATGGAGCAGCACTCTGTGCTCTAAAGAAGAAGGATAGGGGTATCAGGCCCATTGCCGTTGGCAACACCCTCCGACGCCTTGTAGCTAAGGCTGCAGTGAGATCTATCAGCCAGGAAGCAGCCACCTTGCTGAAACCTCATCAGCTCGGGTTTGGGATTCCCCTAGGTTGTGAAGCTGCAGCACATGCAGCGCGGGCTTACATTGTTGATCTCCCGGACCAGAAGGCACTAGTAAAGCTTGACTTCAAAAATGCCTTCAATCAAGTCAGACGAGACGCTGTCCTCAGGGCTGTACACAACCATTTCCGTCCCCTTTACCCATTCATCCGATCGTGCTACAGTGGGGACTCTAAGCTTCTTTTTGGGGAGCATGAAATAAACTCCTGTGAAGGTGTCCAACAAGGTGACCCCTTAGCCCCCCTCCTTTTCTGCCTAGCTATCAAAGAGGTCACTGATAGTCTGACAAGCGAGCTAAACATCTGGTACCTGGATGATGGCACTCTAGCTGGAACTCCGGAAACCATTTTGGGGATATAAGGAAAATCCAGGAGCAGGGAGCAGCCTTAGGCCTCATTCTCAATGCATCCAAATGTGAAATAATCTCCCGCAACCCAGACATCACTGGGCAAATACAAAATGCTCTTCCAGACATTCTCGTTGTCGAACCACCGGACTGCACTCTCCTGGGTGCCCCCATTGGCCCACGAGCAATCGAGGAGGTCCTGGCTGCAAAAATCACTGACCTAAAGAGAATGCAGGACAGGATTGACAAGATTGATGCCCATGATGCTCTCTTTCTCCTTACAAGATGCCTGTCTCTCCCTAAGTTGACCTACTTTCTGAGATGTTCTCCATCCTACAGCAGCCCTAAGTTAAATGTGTATGACACCCTTCTGAGGTCCATGCTGGTGAAAGTCCTGAACCTGCCATTGGACGACTCTCAGTGGGAGCAAGCAACCCTTCCTGTAAGACTCGGCGGCCTTGGTGTCCGCACAGCCTCCCAAATTGCTCTACCAGCCTTCCTTTCCTCCTCTCATGCATCGCACGACCTCGTCAGAGATATTTTACCTGCAACCCTGAGAGATTCAGCAGGAATACACGATCCTGCTTTCACTGAATGTTCAAATCAGTGGAATGTTCTTGCAGCCCCAGCAACCATTATAGAGCCAACAAAACAACACAAACAGTCCGGCTGGGACCACCCTCTAGTGGAAAAAGTAGCTGATGCCATGCTAAGCGTCGCAACATCAGACAAGGAGAAAGCCCGCCTCAGAGCAGTGCGTGCCCCCCATGCAGGAGACTTCCTCCTGGCAGTACCCATGTCTGCAATGGGCACGCGCCTAGATCCAGAATCCCTTCGTGTAGCAGTGGCCCTCCGCCTTGGTGCCCCAATTCACACTGAATACAAGTGTATTTGCAACAGGGTGGAAGCAGACCAATACGGACTGCATGGGTTGCATTGCGGAAGCACAAAGGGCTGGCATGCAAGACACAACGAGGTCAATGACATCATCAAGAGA